TGCCTGTAAAGGTGTCTGAGCGCAGCCGCTCCTTCGCTGGATTTCCCCAAGTAGGTGGATTCAATTCAAGGTGGGTTGCGGAAACTGGACACCCTCTGTTAGTGGGAGAGTACCCTTTTTGGGGCCTTGGAACCAACCCCAACCGCAACACCTCGACAAAATACAGTGTAATTAGTTTTTAACGAGAAACTAAAGGACGCCAAAACCAGACACGAACCTCCAGTGACTTAGTTTTCATTTGTGGGCCCTTTGGAGAACCCAAATTTGGAATCAACCTTCAAAGAGCTCAGGGCTCCTTGAGTCGCCCGTTCGACTGGTGAACCCAGGGAGCTACCCTACAGATTTCAAGTGGAGCCCAAACCATCATTCTTAGAGGAAACTCCTTTTGAGGGAGCCCTTTTTGGCTTAGAGCCCATAGGATTCAAGCCCTCACCTGGTTTCCAAACTAGACTCTGGCCACAGCTAGACAAGCTAAGGTCCCAGGCGGTTGATTCAGATCCCAAAACCAAGATAAGTGGGTTGAGGATTTCAGATTGGCAGGCAAGCTTCCCATTGGTGGATTTGCTACCTGGGGGCGGGGGTCGCTTAAGAAAGACACATCCATATGTGGCTACCAGCCAATTTAGAAGATCCCTTGTGCAGCAGTTGGCTTTGTCATGTATTCTTCAAGGAACCCTTAGAAAAGGCAAACCTGGATCGGATTTTCAACAAATGGGTGTGAATTGTAATTGGGGATGCGTGGACATCACTGGATTTGTCAAACATTCTGGAGGGTGTTCCGTATTAACAAAACGTATGCTAATCACAAATCAACACCTGATTTATCAGAAATGGATCCCCAATACATGCTCGTGTTGCGCCGAATTGGTGAGCTCGCCATAAGATTCGAGCTTTGCCTTCCCCATTCTCTTCAAGGCTAGGTCTCTTCAGAAATAGGCCAAACCCTTTTACCCTTTTTCTTTTAATGTGTGGTTTCTCTTCAGAGAGCAATGGGTGATTACATGGAAAGGGAAACAACCCCTAGAGTTACAACAAGCAACCTGGGGACCAAGCGGCAACTGAATGTCCAAAACTTTGGTTAGAATCTCCAGAGCACGATGAAATCTTGGCTGGGTGTCTCCTTCTGACCCGAATCAAGCCTTTTGTGGCGAATATGGATTCTTGCTTGGGTACCTGGAATCTCATGAATTGGGCCATCCCTTCTCTTTTGGGTAACCCCATTTTTTTCAAAGGTCAGGAGCACAGCCCCATCAGCTTGCTCGCAGGGTATGCCAATGTGAGGAGCTGGCCTCCTAAAGCGCAAACCCCGGTCGGGGTCCATGCTCCGAGCTGAGCAGCTGAGACGTCAGTCGCAGCTGCGTCGCAGCTGAGGGAGTGAGGGAAAAACCCCGCGCCGAACGGACTGGCACGTTGGACTTGTCATTCTGGCTGAGGCTGGTGAGAAGTACGAGACGAAACTGCTGGGAAGAGGTTAATGGAATCAGCAGCAGTACAAGGCGGTTGGACTTCCTCGCCGCGAAGCCGGTCTCAGTTAGTTCTGGGGCGCCCCGATCGACACAGTGTGCCAAACCTACGACTCCAAGGCCCCCTTCGACCGCTGAGGCGAGCCTTTCCCTTCCACTCGCGTCCTTGTGCACCAGCGCCACCGCTCAGGGGCGAAGCCCCAGAGCTCTACCGCGGAGTCCTCTGAGGTTGCGGCTCGAATAAGGTGTAAAGCAAAAGCACGTACGGTACCCTGTCGTTGGCAACAAGAAATGGTGTCGTTCAAAGGAACATCGTCCTCCAGGACCCCCGAAACGTCACGTTCCAGGTTCGTGGATAGGAGGGCAAATAGCATGGGGGAGGGGGTATTTGAAAACCACATTTTATATGGTGTTTACTTGTTGGCTCGGCCGGCATGTAACAGGCACTCGCGCGCGCGCACGAAACCTTTTGAGGCTCTAAGAAGCCGAAGTGTCTAAGAGTAAGTCGATGTCGAGGCGGCTGAATTTGTATGGCCACAGTAGTCGCACCACCCATAAAGACTTGATGGCAGGTGGATATTTGTACCGCCCGGGTCTTGCAGGGGCCTTGACAAGATCTCGCTTTTCTAACGTGCTGGGAAGCAATCCTGCTGATTATCCAAGGGTAACGCTGATTGGCTGTTTGTCTGAGCATGCTCTTGAAACGCTGAGCTGATAAAGAGAATGGCCACGGCAGAAGGCAAGAGGGGGCGCGGGGCTAGACGGCGCGCGGTTACACACCGTTAGCGCGTTGTAATTGCTTAGCCTCTTGTACCATGACTTTTGATGAGGAATGCCATCCGAAAAGGGTGGTGGACATGAATCCCCAAACTATGTCCCACAGAGGCTCAAATAATAAAAAGAAGAACCCCTTTTTACAGGTATGGAAGATGGTGCATCGCTTCCCAAAGATCACTTGGATCTTCTTCCCAAGTTCGTGGTTAGCCATCTGGATCAGCCAACGTAGGATTCTCAACCAAGGGGTAGCAAAATGGCAAGCCCGCGCAAAGGAAACCATTGAAACCAAGTTCTACGTGGTATGGTCACACCGTGTAGCCTAGACTGAACTCCTGTCCAATCTTGAGGTGCGCGCCTGCCAAGCTTCCCTTTCTGTAACCCCCTTACTGGCGGCGCAAAACATCAGATTCCCAAAAGGCAAGCAACGCGGCTACTTTTAACGACCCCAAGTTAAACAAGTCTGCACACTTCCCTTCTTCGGCATTGCAGGGGTTTTTTGTTTTCCCTGAGACTACAAAGGACGCCCATGAGAGCGAAGGTCCCTATGGGGGCACAAAAGGCACAGTCTATTGTTCGCTTCACCTTGAGTCATATCCCTTGAATTTGAGTATTTTGACATGGCGGACGCCAACAAGTGTCGTCCACAAGTTGCGGGGTGGTCAACACCCAAAGCAAAGGGTGTGTGTGCTGTGACCGATATGCCACCCATGAGTTGATGAATCCGCTGTTCCCAATGGGCTAGCCAAAAAAGGCTCTCCAAAATGGCCACACTCTAGATTAATTGATCAGGCTGCCCGCTTTTCAATCATCCTGCTGGATCCCTCTTGAGTTCCCCTCTTTTTTCGGGTGACAACTCAAGCTTTCCGGGGGCTGATTCTGTTCAACCATCGTTGAAATCTCACAAACCGGTTGTTTCCCCTAGGTCTTCATGTTTCTGATTCAGAACGGATGTTTTCTGCGATTAAAGTCTGGCAACCCAAGGGTTAAACACAGCCTTGTATACCGCAAATTTTAGCAGAAGCGCCCGATTCGCAATGGCTGTGTCACCTAAAGACGCCAAGCAGACGTTGTTCAAACAGAGGTTGAACAACCGTTGTTTAAGGATTGAATCGACCAACCTTGCCGGGTGCACACTGGAAAAACTGGGAGAAAAACACCAGTGGATCGGGGGTGGTGGAAGCCAGAGAACATCCGGGGTGCTCCAAAAGTAAGGGGAACGTAGTAGTTGTGCTGAGAAGTCGACCAATGGTCTCCGTCAGCCAACTCAGGGCTTCCTATATAAACATTACCACTCACGGCCCTGTTATAATTTTAAATAACCGGGCCAAAGTAATCACTACCCCCTAATGAATGCACCCTACCAATATATGGTATTTTTTCCAGACTCCAAATCTCCCAATACTAAATTAGAGTGACAACAGGTGACGACAGCAAGTAAGCAAGGGGAACCAATAGGTCACCGAATGTCAACTTGGTTGGAACCCCAAAACGGATGGTTTCCTCTTGGCGTCGCTTCAAACCCGGAACCGGGTACCCATTAAAGCCCGGGTATGGGTCCCATCAACCCCACCAGCCACATGTTCCTTCGATTCCCACGACCTTCGCGTCCTGGCGCCGGGCCAAGAAAAAGAGCGCCGCCTCGTTCTTCACCACCAGCTCCACCAGCCATGCCACCCGCAGCACCGGCCTCGGACCGAACACCAAACCACAAAACACCCACGATTTGTGGCCGAAATTGAGAAAGGTTGGCAATAAGAAGCGCCCAGCCAACATGAAACCGTGTGGTATCAAACAAGATACGCAAACATACTATGGTTCAAATAAGCTCTGATTTAAAGCCTTCCAGGGTTTGATTGCCAATGTTCTGCCCTCATTTTGCGGTTCGCACCCCTGTGGCACTGGCATAGAGTCAACATAAAATCTACCTCCGAAGTATGAACGAGAACTGAGCACCTCTGACAGAGTTCGACAGCTGCAAATGAATTATCTGCTGAAAACGCGAACTGGGTATACCTGTCAATGTTTCCCCCTCAAAAAATGGCGGTTGTGCACGCCCAAGGGTACCCTGGAGCAAGAAACCGACGGCACTGGGCCATGCGCAAATCCGCACATGCCCACAGTCCAATTGATGCCAGCGCCCTAACGCTGCACTGTCAACCATATCTCACCAAGACTTCTGCCGCTTTGTTTCCTTCGGAAGCAAAACAAATCGCTGGGTGCACAACAAATCGCTGGAGAACTGATGGCACCTGTGGCCAAAGGGAACCAAGAAAGACGCGAGGCCAGTGCCGAGGTGCCAGTCCATCCTGGCTTGGATCGAGCCTTTGATGGTCAAGATCTTCTGCCTGACGCCTCTCTGCTGAGCGGCCTCGCGTCCAGTTTTCATGCGGAATAGGGGGACCTATAATGCTGAGTGTCCTCGTGGTGTCCCTTTAAGCCAACTTGAAAGGGGTACCCTCAACAAACCTGCACCTATGTGGCCTTTCGCGTGTCGCTTTGGCAGCTCAGATTTCCGCCACATCAAATACTGTTTTCCAACTCGGCCCGGCAGTTAGCGAAATCCAAGAGGCGTCGCTGGCATTCTCGGCTTGTTGTTTTGTGTCTGTTGCCTACCGCAGACATGCGACCCTCTGCACCACACGTGCTCGAGACAAACTAATGTGGAGGCTTCGCCTCCGCTCATTCAGCCAACTTACTCCAGCCGCTGCGATTGGAACACGACACGAACTCAAAAAAGGGTCTTGAGCAAGTTGCAGCTTCTCGTCGACACTGGGCTTGGTCATGGCCAGCGGGGAGTAGCACTTTCAAAGGGCTTGCAAGCTACCTGATGGCCCCAAAGCTTTGGGGAGACCACCAAGTAGGCATCAGAGACGGCGGACAGGGGAAGATAAAGAATTGTCAGCCACCAATATAGCACTTGCCTCTTTGAAGTCGTCAAGGGATGTCAGGGCAATTCAGGGAATGACTTTCCGCCCATCGCCATCTCTTTACATCGCTAATGCTCAGGTTGCTGCCTCAAGATACTCTGCAAGAGATTCCCTTTCCGGCGTCCTTTTCAACCCCGCAAAAACCATCTTCGTGCCGGGCACATACCTTCTGGGATTCTCGAGGTATTTCATGAGGCTCTCCTTCGTCCACGTGACGCCCGCACGCTTCATGGCCTCACTGAAGCTAAAGCCATCAGTTGCTCCCGACTTCCGGCCAAAGAGGCCGTGCAGATTGGGGCCCTGCATGTGGTGGCCTGCACTCACCGTGTGACACTGCGCGCACTTGGTAATGAAGACTTTGTGGCCCTGGGAGGCGCTGAGGCGGCGAACAAGGAACTCATCGGTGTCGTCACCGGAGCGCAGAGGCAGCAACGGGATGGGGTGCTTGGATGCGAAGCTCGCCTTGGAACTCTCCAAACAACGAGTTAGGGAGTTGGGACCGGTTGGGATGTGAAGCCACAGCCTGACTCAAACAGCCTGGACCTGGACGAGGCCTTGTCCGCGTCGGGCAAACTGTGGGTAAAGTGCATGGCGGCCTCGTAGCACAGCTTCTCCATCATTGCCACCCGAATATGCTCCTGGGGTGGTCTCAGAAAGCCCCACACAATGGATGTACCTTTCAGTGTCCTTTCAAATCAAACCAAAATGGGCTATTTTTAAAACGACGCGCCCAAATAGGGGGGGGGGGAAATTCAAGCAGATTGCTTCATTTGTGGCATCCGTTTCAACCAACCCCAAAAACAACCAAAAAGGGTATCTAAACCCGCCTCCGGCAAAGACTGCAGCTGCCCATAGTCCACTTTCACCGCTTCGTCCCCGCGCGGGTCAAGCCAGCCCTCTTCATCGTTGTCCTCACTTGCCCCTTACCTAGAAATCAAAGGTTCACCTTTTTGGAGCAAAGGTTCACCTTTTTGAAGCACTAAAGGTGGATCAACAATTGAACACCAAAAGGTTGGGTCGGATTTGCAAAACCGAGCGGCCTGGTGGAGTTTCTGCAGCTCCGGGTGGCCAAGCTTCTCCAAGAGCATGGCCACATCCACGAGCTCCTTTTGAGTCTGGCTCCATATCTGGGCGGGACCACAAAAGGGGTGGTGTTTCCTTGGCTTCCCCTGAGTTCCAGAAAGCCGCGCTCGAAAGTTAAGCCTAAGGGTTCCTTGAAAATAAGAAAGGGTGGCTTGAAATACACCTGAGTACACTCTTGAATTTATCGGGCATATTCGACAAAACAATCCATTAAACAAGCCAAGCAATTCCCCATGCTGTTTCTAGAACCCCCTAGTTATTGAAGCCACAGGGAGCCTGAGTTGTTCACCTTTAACCTACAAATCTAGCTTTTTGGGCGTTCTTGCCCTGTTTGCTTTTGGGAGTTTGAACTCACTGACGCCACTGACGCAGGGACGCACTGACGCACGGACGGACGGACGGCACGGACGGCACGGACGGCACGGACGGCACGGACGGCACGGACGGCACGGACGGCACGGACGGCACGGACGGCACGGACGGCACGGACGGCACGGACGGCACGGACGGCACGGACGGCACGGACGGCACGGACGGCACGGACGGCACGGCACGGACGGGACGGCGAGGGACGGCACGGACGCACGGACGCACGGACGGCACGGACGCACGGACGGCACGGACGGCACGGACGCAGACGGCACGGCAACGGACACGCACTCACGCACTCACGCACGCACGCACTCACTCTCGCACTCAGCACTCACGCACTCACGCCACTCACTCACTCACTCCCTCACTCACTCACTCACTCACTCACTCACTCTCTCCCTCACCCTCCCTCCCTCCCTCCCTCCCTCGCTCCCTCCTCCCTCCCTCCCTCACTCCCTCCCTCCCTCTCTCCCTCCCTCCTCCCTCCCTCCCTCCCCCCTCACTCACTCACTCACTCACTCACTCACTCACTCACTCACTCACTCACTCACTCACTCACTCACTCACTCACTCACTCACTCACTCACTCACTCCCTCACTCACTCACTCCCTCACTCACTCACTCACTCACTCACGCACTCACTCACTCACTCACTCACGCACTCACTCACTCACTCACTCACTCACTCACTCACTCACTCACTCACTCACTCACTCACTCACTCACTCACTCACTCACTCACTCACTCACTCACTCACTCACTCACTCACTCACTCACTCACTCACTCACTCACTCACTCACTCACTCACTCACTCACTCACTCACTCACTCACTCACTCACTCACTCACTCACTCACTCACTCACTCACTCACTCACTCACTCACTCACTCACTCACTCACTCACTCACTCACTCACTCACTCACGCTCAGCTCAGCTCAGCTCAGCTCAGCTCAGCTCAGCTCAGCTCAGCTCAGCTCAGCTCAGCTCAGCTCAGCTCAGCTCAGCTCAGCTCAGCTCAGCTCAGCTCAGCTCAGCTCAGCTCAGCTCAGCTCAGCTCAGCTCAGGTAGCTCAGCTCAGCTCAGCTCAGCTCAGCTCAGCTCAGCTCAGCTCAGCTCAGCTCCACTCACTCACTCACTCACTCACTGACTCACTGACTCACTGACTCACTGACTCACTGACTCACTGACTCACTGACTCACTGACTCACTGACTCACTGACTCACTGACTCACTGACTCACTGACACTCACTCACTCACTGACTCACTGACTCACTGACTCACTGACTCACTGACTCACTGACTCACTGACTCACTGACTCACTGACTCACTGACTCACTGACTCACTGACTCACTGACTCACTGACTCACTGACTCACTGACTCACTGACTCACTGACTCACTGACTCACTGACTCACTGACTCACTGACTCACTGACTCACTGACTCACTGACTCACTGACTCACTGACTCACTGACTCACTGACTCACTGACTCACTGACTCACTGACTCACTGACTCACTGACTCACTGACTCACTGACTCACTGACTCACTGACTCACTGACTCACTCACTGACTCACTCACTGACTCACTCACTGACTCACTCACTGACTCACTGACTCGCTGACTGACTCACTGACTCACTGACTCACTGACTCACTGACTCACTGACTCACTGACTCACTGACTCACTGACTCACTGACTCACTGACTCACTGACTCACTGACTCACTGACTCACTGACTCACTGACTGACTCACTGACTCACTCACTGACTCACTGACTCACTGACTCACTGACTCTCACTGACTCACTGACTCACTGACTCACTGACTCACTGACTCACTGACTCACTGACTCACTGACTCACTGACTCACTGACTGACACTGACTCACTGACTCACTGACTCCCTGACTGACTCACTGGCTCACTGGCTCACTGGCTCACTGGCTCACTCACTGACTCACTGACACTGACTCACTGACTCACTGACTCACTGACTCACTGACTCACTGACTCACTGACTCACTGACTCACTGACTCACTGACTCACTGACTCACTGACTCACTGACTCACTGACTCACTGACTCACTCACTGACTCACTGACTCACTGACTCACTGACTCACTCACTGACTCACTGACTCACTGACTCACTGACTCACTGACTCACTGACTCACTCACTGACTCACTGACTCACTGACTCACTCACTGACTCACTCACTGACTCACTGACTCACTGACTCTCACTGACTCACTGACTCACTGACTCACTGACTCACTGACTCACTGACTCACTGACTCTGACTGACTGACACTGACTGACTGACTGACTCTCACTGACTCACTGACTGGCTCACTGGCTCACTCACTGACTGACTCACTGACTCACTGACTCACTGACTCACTGACTCACTGACTCACTGACTCACTGACTCACTGACTCACTGACTCACTGACTCACTGACTCACTGACTCACTGACTCACTGACTCACTGACTCACTGACTCACTGACTCACTGACTGACTCACTGACTCACTGACTCACTGACTCACTGACTCACTGACTCACTGACTCACTGACTCACTGACTCACTGACTCACTGACTCACTGACTCACTGACTCACTGACTCACTGACTCACTGACTCACTGACTCACTCACTCACTCACTCACTCACTCACTCACTCACTCACTCACTCACTCACTCACTCACTCACTCACTCACTGACTCACTGACTCACTGACTCACTCACTGACTCACTCACTGACTCACTGACTCACTGACTCACTCACTGACTCACTGACTCACTGACTCACTGACTCACTGACTCACTGACTCACTGACTCACTCACTGACTCACTCACTGACTCACTCACTGACTCACTCACTGACTCACTGACTCACTGACTCACTGACTCACTGACTCACTGACTCACTGACTCACTGACTCACTGACTCACTGACTCACTGACTCACTGACTCACTGACTCACTGACTCACTGACTCACTGACTCACTGACTCACTGACTCACTCACACTGACTCTGACTGACTGACTGACTGACTGACTGACTCACTCACTCACTCACTCACTCACTCACTCACTCACTCACTCACTCACTCACTCACTCACTCACTCACTCACTCACTCACTCACTCACTCACTCACTCACTCACTCACTCACTCACTCACTCACTCACTCACTCACTCACTCACTCACTCACTCACTCACTCACTCACTCACTCACTCACTCACTCACTCACTCACTCACTCACTCACTCACTCACTCACTCACTCACTCACTCACTCACTCACTCACTCACTCACTCACTCACTCACTCACTCTCACTCACTCACTCACTCACTCACTCACTCACTCACTCACTCACTCACTCACTCACTCACTCACTCACTCACTCACTCACTCACTCACTCACTCACTCACTCACTCACTCACTCACTCACTCACTCACTCACTCACTCACTCACTCACTCACTCACTCACTCACTCACTCACTCACTCACTCACTCACTCACTCACTCACTCACTCACTCACTCACTCACTCACTCACTCACTCACTCACTCACTCACTCACTCACTCACTCACTCACTCACTCACTCACTCACTCACTCACTCACTCACTCACTCACTCACTCACTCACTCACTCACTCACTCACTCACTCACTCACTCAACTCACTCACTCACTCACTCACTCACTCACTCACTCACTCACTCACTCACTCACTCACTCACTCACTCACTCACTCACTCACTCACTCACTCACTCACTCACTCACTCACTCACTCACTCACTCACTCACTCACTCACTCACTCACTCACTCACTCACTCACTCACTCACTCACTCACTCACTCACTCACTCACTCACTCACTCACTCACTCACTCACTCACTCACTCACTCACTCACTCACTCACTCACTCACTCACTCACTCACTCACTCACTCACTCACTCACTCACTCACTCACTCGCGCACTCGCAGCTCAGCTCAGCTCAGCTCAGCTCAGCTCAGCTCACTCACTCCCTCGCTCCCTCCCTCCCTCCCTCCCTGCCTCCCTCCCTCGCTCGGTTCATCGCTCTCTCGCTCCATCGCTCGCCCGCCAGCCTGCCCGCACGCCGCCTGTCCACCCGCCCGCCCACCCACCCACCAAGCCACTCACGGACTCACGTATTCACGCACGCACGCAGTCACTCGTTCTCTTGCTCGCTCGCTCAATCAATGTCGGGATATGCGGCCCTTACTTTTCTTACATCTAGCTCTGGCTTTGCTCAGCTCCTCGGCAGAGAAATCTTCGCAGGGCTTGACATTGCCGCGGGCGATGCGCTTCAAGTGCTTGTTCAACAGCTCGTTGCTCTGGCCAGAGTGAGCTTGGAACAGCGGGCCGGGTGTGACCTGCTTGGCTCGAGCCACATCACGCACCGAGAGCTCCGAGAGACCGGTGAACTCTGTGCTAGCTTCAGCAAGCGCAGCTTTATGCCCAACGTAATAGCCCACAGCCACCAGACTTGCGAAGGTCATGGACACGGAAAGGCCCACCTTGCCCAGCTTCCACCCGGGGGCAGGCTGGGTGAGAAGCACATCACACTCTTCCGTGGCTGCCATGGTCTTAGAGTCTTAGAGTCTTGCGCCTAGGAAGATTTTGCGGGAACTGAGCCAAGCGAGCTGAGCGAGCTCTCTGTCTCAACTCGTGCTTCCGCTTCTCCCAGCGCAGCAACTGGGTCCGATAAAATAGAATGCTCGGAATCACCCTCATGGTGGGTTCGGCCCCAAAAGTAGTTCTGATAACTCGGGCCTCAAAATGCCTTACCCCCTTAAGAGGGCCACAAACAAGCAGAATGAAAACCAACTTCTGGTGTCCACCCGACAGGCTGGCACCATTTCTGGAGACTCAAATGAACACCCAGAAGGTTGGCTACCAGCTTCTCACTTCCGCTCTTGTCGCCAGAGCCTTTGCCCCATTCTGAATCGCGCCTTGCAGGGCGACGCCAGCGACAGCTCCTTAGTCCAAGGGCACGCTTGAGGCGGAAAGACTCACCTGCAAGTCCCAACAGAGGACTTATACCTCAATTTGTGGGTTGTTACCTACGTAGCTCACCACTATCTTGGCAGAGCGCCCAAGTGGGGATTCGTGTTTGTCCAGCCATGATCCTGTTGCTAAATGGCAAAGATGCTTGACAGCAAGAGCAATGGACAACTTTGAAATATCGACTTATGGCTCTCGGATGCGAAAAACACATATGCGTCCTTGTGTGAAAACAATCAGAACCTGTCCACCGGAACCCGACAACCGGGTCGGGTCCCCTGAAGAAATCTTGGCCCACATCTGGAGTATACTGAAAATCACATGTTCATACGTTTGTTCATAGTTTGTCTAACTTAAAAAGTAAACTCGAGTTGGAGGAGACACCCTGGTCCCTCAACGAGAACATGTTGATGGACTGCCGCAATTTATTCCAACACGCCAAGTGTAAAACGTTGCCTCCATTTGCTTAAGACCCCTGCAAAACAACTGAAACCTATGTCCAGTAGTGATATTTCCCCCCCGGAAACCAAGAGGGGAAAATAAAACACATTCTGAAACGGAAGCAGATGTAAAAAAAAAGTTGGTGAGACCCCCAGATTCATCAACCCATCCAACTAGGGCAGCAAAGTGATCCAGATTCCCATGAAAAGAACCAGTGTCGGTTTTGTTGGGGTCTTTTCCAAACGTGACCCACTGAAAGTGGATCCGGGGCTCTCCCGCCGTCAGCTCGGCGGCCTTGCCGCGGAATCCGCGCGCCCACACCGCGCGCGACAGGGCGCGGGACTCCGCGAGGACCAAAGCGGCCAGGCCTGACGGACGAATCCGCGGCGGGGGGCTTCTTCGGAGTTGCCCCGCCTTTTTCTTCACGGGAGCCAAAAGGGCTTTTCCCACAGCGCCGAAGTCCAGCTTGGGGCGGTCTAGTAAAACAGCCGTCCGTGTGAAGTTTGGGGGCTTAGGGAAAGGGATTTGCAATTTTGAGGACAGCTCTACGGGTACCTTCCCCTTTCCGGGAATCATCCCCTAGCCGCAGCCCCAAACTCATGGTTGATATGCTAGGGGAGATGTCTGAGTTTGAGGGTCCAGGTTTACCGGTTTATTGGGAAACCACCAGGACGCCACCAGCACCATCCCAATGACTCCTTGTTCAATGTTGTCAAAATCTGCGTGCTGTCCAAAAGCAGTTGTGGGGGGGGGCGGCCGTGTCTTTTGTCTCATGGATACCACCAACAGCTGGTGTCGGGTGTCCTTTCGCTTTCGCTTTAAACCTTAGCCTCAACAAACACACACACACACACACACACACACACACACACACACACACACACACACGCGGAGGCAAGCCCGAAATGGTTGGCTTCATGTTAGTTTCCCTCTAAAACCAAAGAGGGGTACCATGTGTGCCGGTGGTCAATTGTCAAAGCTCCTCATCTGTGGGCCCCTTCACAACCCAGCAGAAATTCATGGTCTCTTCTATGGGAATACTCCTATAACGGCTTCCCTTATTTAATTGGTCTCTTTCACTTGTGAAAACAAATCGACCTCCGAGCCTTAGGTGGGGCCCGAATTTGGGTTGCCAGGGTCGAATCTATTCTCGTCCATGTGTTGACCCGTATTTAAAGACCTAATTACTGGTTGGGTATGTGTCCCAAAAATATGTCCAACTGTACCCTCCTTCCCATTCTCAGGGATCCTCCTCAAAGAATGGCTGTTTATGAACAGAAGGATGGGTAAAGGAAACAGAGACAACCTTTAGAGATCTTTAGAGAATCCCCTTCTGAAGCAGGTATTTGTTGGATGTATCCTTTAGAAATGTGCCCTTGAAGGAACCCTGATGTTGACCTGGCATGTTCAAACCCTATTACCCGGTGGAGGGTTCAGGACTTAGCACAAGGATCAAGTTCTGCGTGGGAACCGTAGAATTCAGAAAGTAGAGGATCCATATTTTGTCGAACGCCTCCTATTCAACGCATAGAGTTCATCCGGGGTCGACATATCATTTTTCTGCGCTTTGCCTGGAGTTTTCTTTGAAACGGGCTACCCTGCCCATTCCTCCCCGTTTTTGCAGAAATCCATGAAATGCAGCAGAACACATCAAGAGAAAAGCATGGAAAAGGAATGAAGCCCTAGATCCGTGCGCCGGGTCCGCTATTGCTAGACAAATCTGTAGGACATACGTGACATGTTGCTTGTCCACACCCGTTGAACCAATCACCTTGGTACGCAATATCACCTTCTCACTTGCCCAAAGGACCTTGAAACATATGGGGACCTTTGCCACAAGTAGACAAAATGGAACACCAAAAAGTTCAAAGGTCGGTTTTGAACCACCGAGCCTCTTAACCATGGAAATATCGGATTTCCTCGACTGTTCATCCGACACCGGGGGAGTGGTGCGGTCAAGCCAGGCAGCTGGCATAATACTCACCTGGCGAGGCGAAGCTGGTCGGGAGCTTGGCGCAAACATCGTCGGCGCTGAGGTTGTGCCTGAGGTTTCATCGGGGCCTGTTTCAAATCCAGCCTTTAAAGCTCTAGAAGAAATCAAATGAGTTTGGTTCCAGAAACGAAGCAACGGCAACAAATAATCAGTTCAAAACTTTACAGGTGTGGCTTTGGACAAGTCAGGGGGGGGTCCCCCAAAGAACCAAAAATTGCAGGGGTCCCCGTCCGCTTACATCTTGAAGCGGAGCTCTCGCGGCGGCCACTCACAAGCGATCAGAACCCGTCCGAAGGCTGCCCTGGTTTAGGTCTCAAGTGAACATTTTCAGGCATCTGCAATTTGGCTATTCCAAAACGCTGAAATAGGACATGGATCCCCAAGAAAACCTTCGTTGGGGTCAAATGGTTTGGAAGTCTTTGCTGGACTTCCTCCCGAATCGGGGGAATCGCTCGCCAGACTTCATGCCGCCACGCAACAACACGCAAGCCCAGAAGCTTTGCGCCGCCTCACTCGCGCCCGTGCCGCGCTTGCCGCGCTTCGTCATGCGAAGAGTTGCACGCCAATAGTCGAAGCTGGGGTGGCAAAGGTGGACAAGGAAAACTACTCGTCGTCTTCCACTTCAACGTGGAGGTCCAAGAAAGCTGTTTTGCTGCACTTGTTGATACAAAATGTGTCCCCCACCAACAAGCGGGGCTTTCTCTTGGAAGCTGAGTGGAAGCTACAAACCAAACGGCGGCCCCTACCTTGACCACCCAAAGTGAATCAATACTCTCTGTGGTCTTGTTGTACTTTGTATAGATACTCTGCCCTGGAGTGTCATGATGTGCAGGTCCATGGTGTGCGTTTCCTCCCACTAACATTCCCTGTCCGGCGGCCTGTTAGTGGAAGGGAGCTATGTTCCAGGAGCCATACTTACGATGGCCTTTCATGCTCCGATGTGCTGCCTACAGCCGGGGCGCTTGCGGCGCATGCGGCGCATGTGTTCCTCTAAAGGAAAAACCAGTGAAATAGTGTTTTTTATGGCAACCACTGAAGGCCCCCCCTCGGAAAACACACCCGTGGTTTTGTATGCACATGCCGAAGATCATTTCATGTCGATTTGTGACTCTTTTTTCGAATATCAAGGAAGAAAAGAAAACAACACCGGCCCCAACTTGCCCCCCCCCCCCCTGCGCAGCATGGGAATTCATCCCCCCCTCAAAAATGGCGCAAGGCTTCTCCACGGGATTGGGGTCTCCATAGAGTTCACTTTCAGACGTTCGGGGGTGAAGCCCCTGACCGGGCGTCTCCTCATTTCATCAAGGTCACATGAAATTGCTTGTGGGCTGGCATCCTCAAAAGGCACCAAGATGGGTGCTAAACAGCCGTCACTTTTGTGGTTGCTTCATAACTTCCACCCGGAGGAAGTTAGACTAGTCAGTGGCTTCCTTTTGATTTATGGTGCTTAGTGGGGCATCGATTCGCTTTAGAGGGACGCATCTCATTAGTATGGCCCTCGGGAACAATGAGAAGGAATCGGTTTGGGCGTTGCTCAATTGTTGACCCAGAACTAACCCTTTGATTGGACGGGCAAGGGGGGGGTTCCCCTTTAAGCGGATCACTGAGGGAGTTGCACCTTCCAATCAGCAAGGCACACCCAAACGACAGTCCTTTCAATTGTACATGCATGTTTGTGATTCGAGTACTTCTGCCTTGGCATGTGAGCAACACACTGGACTTTTGCAACCCACTGAATATGCTCAAAAACAAATGACTAATAAACAAAAGAAAACATGCCAATAGCAGTGAAGAGTGGCTGCCGGCCTTTTCAAGAGGGCGTGTTTTGGGCTTCTAAGGGAAACCACAGAAAGACATCCATTCGGTGTCTAGTCTTAGACTCCCAAAAACAAGTCGCATTCATCGTAGCCTTCTCAAAGTTCCAGGAACCTAATCGAAAAGGTTCGGGCGCTCTCTCGGAACCGTATGGCGAGTCCAGTCCGAGCTTCCACTCACTTCAGTAGATTGGCCAAACAAAGTCTCTGTTCCACCCAAAATTATTTTCCCAAAAAGTACACAAGTCCAGAAACTCAGGAAGTGAGTCCACAATCATTGGGAAACTATGTTGGAGGAGAAGGGCCCTTTTAAGTTCCCTTTCAAAATTCACAACAGCCTGAACATTGTTTGCCCCAATACAGTGTTGTCCGTTGCCCAAATTGCATC